TTGTTTTTTCCTTAGAGATGAGGAGGAATTGATTCATGGTATCAGAGGGTTGCTGGGCTCTCCAATTAGTTGCCTGGTTCACTTCTTTACTGTGCCTGATTTTCTGTATTTATGTGCTGAGCACTATAATCACTGATTTTAGTAGCAGACTCTTTCCATTTAATCTATTAGTAAGAGATTGGTATTCAGGGTGTAATTTCCTGTTATATTCAGGGTGCTGTGGTGGCAGCTGTTGCCAGAATGGGTAGCTCTGTGGTTTCTCATCCTACATCCTTAGCACAAGCAGAAAAAAACCCCACCGAACTTCATATGTTTCTGCTACACTCTCTTCTGCTACACTTGTAGAATAAACTAATCCACCATTTTACTATACTAACAAAATAAAGTTTTCCCTTGGAGCAGTTTACTGATCAGTCATGGGATTGCACAGTTGTTAAACTAAGTGCAGTGTTGGGAGAAAGAAGAGAACCACTTCCATTGGCAGTTCTGTAATCAGAGGTGAAAAGGTGATAATTCTTTACTGTGGAATAGATAAAAAGTGCAGTGTAGTGCATTCATAGCCATTATGAAGCACAGAACATTTATTTTTCTTGCTTTCTTCTGGTTCTGAAAGAGGTCTCTCTTGTTTTCATTTTCTTACTGTCTCTGCAGTTCCAGATATTAATTAGTGCGTCAAGAATTTTCTTAACTTAAATGAGAAGCTAGGATGAAAAGGAGTTCAAACTGTATATTTGAGAGTTTGGATTTGGGCAATGGGAGGGGGAGGAAGAGCACTGTTACCAGGACAAAGTTCAAAATTGTTATGAAATTTTCCATATATATTTTCAGAAAAACTTTTGGTTCAGGAAAACTAAATGTGAGCTTAATTTATCAAAGGAAATAAGAGTAAAGGAAAATAATTGAAGTAATAATTATTATAATTTTGAGTTTTCAGAAGAAAAAGTACAGAAGCTTGTCTAAGCAACCTTTACATAGAAATTTTTCTCTTCGTGAAAAGTTCTTAAAATGGGAAAGGCTGTTTTGATCCCATGAGGTTAACTTGGGAGTCTGATGTATTTAACAAATACAGATGTTCATTCACATCTTGTTTTTATTTCTACCCATTTTAAACTTATTTAGGGTTTGGGTTTTATTCTTGAGAGTTTTTGTTGTATGTGTGTTTTGTGTTTTTGTTTCTGATACTTTTTTTGTGTGTGTGTTTTGTTTAGTTGGTTTTGTTTGCTTGTTTTTTGTTTTTGCATCCAGAACCATAAGTGACTTCTCAAGAAACTATCTCATTAGCAAGCAGGAGTGGTCAGGGCAGTGACCTGGCTTCTATAGTAGCAGTTGCCTGTTGTAAAAGGTTTCGTATAAGAAGAGTAATACATAAGGGAGGTTGTGGAAAAATAATCCCAAACAAACAAAAACCCACACTCTGAATGCAGTTCTGTAATTTAAATCATTCTCCATCGTGGTCAGTGTAAAGGGGGCTAGTTTGTTTGGAGATTTTTTTTTTTTTGAGTTACTTGTTATTGTATTCAAATTTTATTTCTACCTGCCTTTTTTAAATAGCATAAAAATGCCTAAAGAGTAGGATAAAACCACAGTTCAGTATTATTTCTGAATATATCCTCCCACAGCTGTCTTGCTTACTGTGAACTTGGAAGTACTTTTTCCAGACTCGCACAGTTTACAAGTTCAGATTATAAACTCAGAAGTAAGTAGATCTGAAATGGAAACTCAGTTTTTCTGTAATCCTCTGAACTTCATTGGTAAAAGCATACACAATCAAAAAAACAGTTGTTAGTAGTGCTCTAGCAGGCCTGAACTTGGAGCAAAACCTTGTCAATCATAGCCTCATTTCTTTCTAAATTTGTTCTATAGAAACATTAACCTAAACCAAAATGCTTAAGTTATAAAACAAAGTAACTTTTCATGAAAGTGTGTTTTTGGTAGAACTGAGGGCTGTGTCATTATGGGTGAGACTGAAGATGAGTTTTTACAAGTCAACTTCCTACCCTTTTATCATGGTAACTGTTCTATTAGTGGTTTTTTTGTATTCAGCTGCCATTCAGTTGGAATACTGTAATAATACTTTAATGCTTTTATGAATACTCTTAGTCTTAATTTTCTCCTAGTGAATGCCATGAAAAAGGAATGGTTTCTCTGCCCTATAGAGAGTATTACATATGAATCCTTTTTGTGAAAGAAATGTGTGAAATTGGTGGAAAAAGATTTGATTTGCATTCTTACTGGTTATTTGAAGCACTCGTAATTTAATAAACAATATGAAATAAAGGAAAAGTCTACCATGTTGAACATGGCTCAAAATCCAAGACCTTATCCTTGGGCATTTCCTGAGCAGTTGTGTCATCAGTATCCACCTTCAAGACTGTACAGGTGAGAGGAGATTGACAATGTGTTGTATTAACATTCATTACATGTGAAGTTACTCTCTTAGGTACCTTCTGTGCCTTCTGTATAGAGCAGCCTTAAAAGAAGGTTAGGCTGCCATGAGTGTGACTCCTGTGTGAGTTCTTTTACCGCTTAATTCAGAACCGTTGCATCTCCTGAACATTTGATTCCTATCATTGTGGAATTGTAAAGTTTCAGATAAGCATTTGTATTTAAATATAGAAAAAATAATTTTTTTCCTAAACTGGTTTGAATAGTATGGCAGAACAGCAGTCTGTAAACTTTGAGGGAAGGATCCCATCTACTATATTAGAATTTGTAGCAAGGGAGGACAGCCTGTAAAGTTTCAGGTCAGCAAATATCTTAGATTTTCTAATTTCTTTTTTTATGTTGGATGTTTAAGTTTCTGACCTTTTTGACACTAGTTGACACTAACATATTGAAGTTGTATTGTCACAACCACAGGCCTTCTACTACTAGTGTTTTCCTTTAGCTTTTCTGAAAAATAGTTTTAAACTTTGTTTGTATTTTCTGTCACCATCTTGCTTGATTCTGATCTCTTTGTAGAGCATAACCTTCTCATAAATTTTTTTCATGTTGGTGCACAGTGACTGGAAAGGCTATTTAGGTAAACGTTACAAAATGATTTGGTAACAGGTTCTGAGAAACCAGAGCTGAAACCAGGATATTTAAAAAACATTTTTGACTCTAGATGTTCTTGAAGACATTAGTAATGCACATTGAAAATGATTGTACATAAATAACTTTTTTTACCTTTCAGTGTTGTATGCTCAGTAAATACATAACTGCAGTTGTTTATTCTGCAGCTTTTAAATTGAAGAAAAAAGTCCCTCCTAAGAACTAGGAAAGGTGTTTCGTCTGTAATGGATTGCTTTTTTGCTGAACTTCTTGTGAGGCTTTTGCTGTTCAGATGGAGTAGTGCTTAATGGAAGTTCTAGGAACAGTTACCTGTATGAAGGTGCTCTTGCCATGAACTATAAATATAATGTTTTTAAGGGATGTAGACACAAAGTAAAAGATGTTAATAATAGTTCTGTGAAAATTGGCTTGTCAAAGACAAGGGATTGAAGCAGAAGAATTGGCAGGTTTTCTTGTTACAACTGCCACCAATTTCATTGTTCACGTTTGTGTGTTTAAGGTAAATCAGTAGAAACATTACAAAAATCCTTTTGCAACTGAGCTCACCAAACTCCTGGAGCTTTAAATGATACTATTAATCTTGATCTTGTTTTTGCTTAATTAGTAGGGAATGTTAGCAGTGACTTTGGTAGGTAATTCATTGTATTAACAGAATACTTAGCACTGAGGCATACAAGCTAATAATATTTCAAGTGCTGTGTTTAACTTGGGGAATAAACATAGATGTGCCATTTTTTGACAGCACATTAAGCAAAATTGGTTATTAGTTAACATTAATGATACCTAAACATAGATAATTTACTTCTGAAGTTTGTAAATTGATTACAGTTAATAATAATTGGAAAGATTTGAAGTACAGCACATGTGATTGGAAAGTATAATAATTTCATAATATAATTTATGTTTTTCTACAGATATGCATGTGGATGAACTACATTTTAATGTTCTGAATGTCTGAACAATATAATCTTTTTGTAAATTAAGAAACAGAAAATAAAAGAACCTCAGAATGGGAGAAATTAAATGTGTCTATTATTATTAATTTAGGTAACTTCCATCTGCATCACTATGCCATGGTAATTCATTGTTGTTCCACTTCAGCTGGGTTTTACT